ATTGTATCGATCAAACATTTTGTTATAAATAATTAATGAATGTTGCAGATGTGTTCAGTAAATTTTTTTTAAACTTTTGTTAAACTCAATGCCATTATTGAGGATTTTCATCTGGTCTGGCTTTACAGAGTGATATAAAAGATCAAGCGAAATACGTTAAAAATAAAATAGATGATGCTAAAAACATCATGTGGTCAGAATTCATGAGCCTGAAAAACATCCCTGACGATACGAAACAGAAAATACTCGGGTCTTACAAGAAGATAAACGTCAGGCCGTTTAAAAAAGAAGATGATGTCAAATTAGAAGACGTAGAAGAATAATTGTGAAAATATAAAAATAAATTAACATAACATTACGTAATAAATATTTGTATAAGAGAAGTGAGTCACTTAATATAACTCTGAGACCCAATTCCGTTTATTTTTACAAGCATTTTAAAAGCAACAGGCATTTTACATTTAAATAGCTCTCATGCATTTGTTTTCTATATTATTTTTATTTCTACATTAAGAAAGAACGTACTAAAATTTTAAAACTTAAATAAATCTAAGTTTTCAAACATAAATAAGTTACATGGGCTGCGTTTTACACTAAATTAAGACTTGTATGTATAAAATACTCAAGGACCTACCCAATTACTTATGAATAATTTATTACAACTATGCATTGTAATTGTTTTTTATTAAAGTAATGTAATTATTTTTTTCCTTTTATTGAAAGCCCAAGAAGCGTATAAAAAGTATGTTTTGGTATAACTTTAAAAATTGGCATTTCTTTATTAAAAAGCAACGAAATCTAGAACTACATAGGTAAAAAATTATTAAAATATCTAATCCATTTTAATGGTTATAACCAATATTAACCAAGTGATGATGTATGGTTAGTTCCTGCGAAGTTGAAAATCATGGCTGGAATCCTTAAAGAGTGTCCTTCAAGGTCAATATTAATGAATAAATATCGAATTTCGTCTAAATCAAACTAGCTGATATCAATTTTTTAAAGTTTTTTAATTATTATTTTTAATGTTTTATTTATTCAGAAATATTAAAATCTGTCACGAATAAGAACATGTATAATAGTGTTCAGAGAGCACATTCACAATCTATAATTATAATTGAAAGAGTGTGAAAATTATTGAACGTATAAGGGCTTTACTGAATTATATTTGATCATCAAATATGGTTCTAGATCTTAAGAGGCCATAGCCCCTTAAGCCCCTTGGTAGTGTGCTATTTTGGTGACCCTCTTGGTTAGGAGGAGTGAGAGTGTGTGTTTGTGTGTGTGTGTGTGTGTGTGTGTGTGTGTGTGTGTGTGTGTGTGTGTCTCATCCCTCTAATTAGAATTTCGTTTAAGGAAATGGCAATATTTTAATTCATTTAACTGTATTCAAATTACTGTTTCGTTGTTGTTCAAAAACTATTTGTTATATTTTTTAATACAAAACTATTTCTTAAATCAGGAAATAAGAAAAAAATCAATGTAAAACAATAATGGCTTTAATGTCTAAGAACAAAATAAACAATAAAGATCACATTTAATTAAGATTGCACAGATGGTTGTAAAAATGCAATGTAAACAATCGATAACTATTTTATTGGTATTTTAAAAAAAAATATTTATGGATTGACTTATAATCAAGTGCAGCTAATTGTAACAATAAACTAGAAAGATATTTTTATTATATATTTTTTTTTTATTGCCACATCCACAGCAATTAAAGCAATATGAAATTCATATTTATTCGAGTTGAAAATAAGTAAAGAAGGTTACTGATGTAATATTGACTCAATATTATCGCCTTGTGTAAATGACCCCTTCAATATACGTTGCTTCAATTCAATTATATTGCTTCAATATAACACACTATTTTAAACTAACTCCATGTATATGCTATTATTTCATAATGTTATTGTTGGTATTTTTTATATTCACTGCCTTTAATTGCTCGGACTACCTCTATCTTCCTCTCGGTGATGGAACGCATCTTCCGAATTCTTCCTTCATCTTCTTATTTCGGCTTCTAAACTAAAAAGGTACGGCCTTAAAGCCGCTCGGTACTTTTCTGTTATTGCCCCACCATTATTAATATTTATAAAAAGTTTTTATTATAATCTCATTGCATTCGAAGATTTGTTATTGTTATTAACAATGACATTAACAATGTTTGTTAACATATTTGTTGATTGATGGCATTCTCCGTCCTTTCATTTCGGGTAATACCATCTTCAACTGATGCCTATATTGGATTAAATAATTTTGATTTCACTTTAATTACCATTGCCATAAGGGCGACTCCATTTTTAGGAGGATAAGACCCACCCAGAAGAGAAATGTCAGAAGGAAGTGCTCTAATTACTCCAGGCCCGTTATTATTTTACACGGGTTAATCCAATTAATGGACCGCTAGGCCGGTAGTTAATGGACTCAGGGATTGGACGACGGAATGTACCAGGCCCTATAAGGTCCAATATTATGTGTCAGCTCGGAGAGCCACCTACTCCCGGCATCCATCATGCCGGATCTAGAGTCTCTCCAGCCGAATCTTAATTATAGAATTTAATATTGGAATCCTAATGGCTTGTTTATTCAATTTAAATTATTCCGTCATTAGTTGGCCCTTGCGAATAATTTGCTTAGAATATTGGCCAATCAATAAGCGATAAAATGATAAGAAAATGAAATGTTATAAAATAACATGAGATGGAGAAGTCAATTCTTATTTTCTCGGGTAATTGTAATCGACCAGGGAAAAGGAAATTATTTTAACACCTTTACAATTTATAATAAGCTGTATCGTTGATAGTAATGATCCTAAATTTTCGTGTGGAAGATAGAGTCATTTCGAAATTATCAAAATGTTTGTGATTTTCGAAGAGAAATTGAAGATTTGAAAACCAAGATAAAAAATAGAAGCAAGAACAGTATTCAGAGAGCAAACGATTCATAACAGTGTTAAGAGAGCACATTCACGCTCTATGTACAATAAATAAATTAAACAGCAAATTAACATTAATAAAATTAAGTGTATATAAAAAAAAAAAAAAAAAAAAAAAAAGAAAAAACTGAACTAATCGAAATAACAACTTAAATATAAATGTTCTTTTATACAATATTTACAAAATATATTCACTCAGGGTAACTCTGAGCCAAGCTTTCCTCCCCCTCCATCTCCTGCACCTCTCATTCAACCTCATTCCTGGTATTAAAGACCAGATTATAATAATAATAATAATAAGGCTTAGCGAACCCGAAGGTTCGATGCCGACACCACCAATCGCTTGTTAATATTCTAATCGAGCAGGGGATTCCAAAAAACTAGTAAAGACCAGATTAGGAAATGAGATTTATTTTTCTTTAAAATTTATTTGCTTGACATTTCATTATTACAAATAATCATGGTGTTTACGCAGATATAGAGTTATATAATTTTAGGTTTGATAGATTTTCTGTAGTAGGCTTATTAATTTTATTTCTGTATTTTTTTTTTTTGGAATGAAAGGTAATAACGAATGTTAATAAGGTAACGTAATTCCTAAAAAAATAAATGAGTCAGACCAGAGGCAGGACATCTCAAAGCTAAAAAGTCTAACCAGATGATAAAAATATCACATTATTTCAAATCATCCAAACATTTGTTTCCGTCTGTTTTACAGAGCGTTTTGATCTTTAACCACTTGATCAGCCTTCTCCATCTCTACTTTCCTATTGTTTTTCAGGTTTATGTAGACAACGCTACAGCATCCCTGTTGATTCGATCTGTCTATCTGGTTTTGGTATTTGAGATGTTGATTGAACAATCTATGTAAGGAGTTCTTAGGAGGTTTTTCTGCTCAATAAGTGTGTATTCTGATCTCAGATCGCTACGTATATAACGCGAAGGATCGACAAAATATATCAGAACCGACTTAATAACAGCATTTTATGCTGACTTAAAGTTGAGATTTCTATGGAGTTTTCATTATTTCACTTCCGTTCAAAGAAAGATGAAAGCTTTAAACATATAGATATAGTAATATAAATGTATGACGTAGTTTTAATCTACAAATTATCCAGAAGATCCCACGCACCATATGTTGATCAAATAAAGCAGTTAAGGAAATTTCATTGGGTAGTTGACACGTACGAATCATTTTTATAATATATTGGTCAAACGACATTAAGCTGTTTATTAAGAAAGTAATTCAATTCAATATATTAAGGGAGGGGGGAACTAATTGTCATTCAAAAATAAAAGATCAAAACGGTATTCATTCATAGTAGCCAGTACATTTGCGAAAATGATCCGATTTTCATGTTTTTTTTTTCTATTTTAAAGAGAATTTCCTCTAATCGTTGGTATAATTAACCATGAATTGAATATTTTCGAATATGCGCAAGTAAAATTGTCTTCTCTGCACATTTTCTCCATAGATTTTTCTGGAGATACCTTTATTATTCACACCTGAATATAATATTCAAAATCACGGTTCAATAATAGGTTTCTGTGAAGAATGAACCAGGATTGGCGTGCCGAAAAAATAAAATAACAACTGGATAGAGTAATAATATATAAAGATATAATGACAATTTATGTCTGGACAAGTGATAAATTTATCTTACTCATGACCACGAATCAGTAACAAATTTTATTTATCGGAATCGTACATGTATATTTTTTTATGCAAAGTGATAGGAGTTTTCGAAATCTATTCAAATCAATTGAACGACAGAGATTTACCAAGTAATCCCAACTTCCACAACTCAAGTTTGTCTCCAATACATTTGAGCAAATAGTTTCACCTGCTTTTAAGAGAGAATATTCCGAGTCACGAAGGACCATTTTGAAAGCTAATGGCAGGAGTGGATGGTGGTGTAACCTTTCGGACATTACCATACGGCATCAGGGCCTGAGCCCACACGCTAAAAATAAGCAACTGCGCTATGATTAATGAGAGGGCTGGTATGCGAGACCACAGAATGGAGACAATGGGACAATACCGGCATGGTCTCCTTTAGCTCTACAATGGACTTTCTACCGGGCCCTGGCTAAGCAACACTCGGCCGACAGAGCTTCCTTCCCCATCAGGATCAAGTCCGGTTGGCACACAAGGAAGAGTAGGTTCCTCCAACAATCCTGAAAAATCAGGTCCAAATAACAGTAATAATCAATAAGTAAGGATATTTCGTTGATTAGTGAAGACTGACTTCAACGGAATGAAACTAATAAACTGATTATTTGATGGTCAAAATGTTCAGTTTTGTGACCCATTGTTATTCATAACTTTGTTGTCTATTAATGTTTATTCCTAAAAACAAATAAGTTTCCGTTTAAAATCTAACTTAATAGCTCTATCCCATCAGTTAAAAACAAACAAGTTTTACTTTCCTTAAGTTCCTATTAACGTCACTGTTTTTCACTACTGGTAATTGAATCAAGATTAACTTTTGCGGGGAGGCAACGGATTATTATTGTTGAATTTATATTTATTACTAATTAACCAATTCATTCCGATGTAATTTATCTGAAATAAAAGGAAAGAATCTCTATGAAGGGATGTTTAAGTGGTTTTTAACACCATTTCAATAAACGAACAAGCTGTAGGAGCAATAAATTATAATGTAGTAAGGAGAGGACATTTTCTTCTTGCAACGTTCTTAGATTTAGTAGTTGTTTATGCTTTGTAATTTAAAAACAGAAGATATTGTAATTCATAAATTATTTAATTCAGATCATCCAGAGAAACAAATATGAACCAATGAAAAAAAGAAAATGTTTTCCGTTTTTTTTGTAATCCTGCTATACTGCAGCCCAAAAGCATCGTTTCCTCATTACTGCCAGTAGTTAAACGCAAAAATCAACTCTACTTCACGGTTGTCAATTCTCATTGGGCTTTTTTTAGATATGTTCCTCTAAAAAAAAAAAAATTATAGAAGTGTTGAATTTCGAACACTTTGAAATCTAGGATAAAAGTTCGGGTTTGATCGTCTAGAACGAAATTATGGTGTTAAGTAAGTTTATATTGAAATATAAGTATTTATATTTCGATTTTAATCAACATGCTTTAAGTAAGTATACAGTGCAAAAAAATATCAGGTAAAAACATGTTCCTAATCATTCAATGTCATTTTTTTCCTGCTAAAACATTTTCCATTAGTGGAGGATTTGGATTGAAGTTTATAATCCATTTGGATACTGATAAATATCCATAAAAAATAAATAGCGAAAAATCCGCGATTTTATAAAATACAGAACTAAACGAAGTTTAGCTGTTTTAGTTCCTCTCAAAATGGTTATAACTAAGACGAATCCTCATTTCATTTAAAGGATATTCTGTCTAGTTTACTATAAAGGAATTGGTAATCACCTAAGTTAATTTTTGTATTTATTTCTCCCTATTCAACAAAAAACATGACTCAATCTAAAACACAAACTTTATTTTCTTTTTCTATGCGGAATCAGACTATTGGTTATTTGAACTTTTTGTAGCTCTTGACGGTGACTATTTCAATAGTTCTAATTTTTAAGATATAAATATTCCAAACCCCGATGAAATTTCCATAATTTCAAAAACATATTTGAACGTAGGAAGATCTATCAAAAGAAAGTATTTCTCTCTTGGTCATTTCAAGTTATTTAAATAGAACTTTACTCGAAGTTATGTTTCGATCTGCCAAGACAACACCTCTCCGACACCTACAGCTTAGGCTAACGGAGGTGTAGATACATCAATAAGACCAAAGCCTACCCATCCGCTGGAGGCACGGCCTGAGACAGGATGAGGCCCGCAGATTAATACGAAGGGAGCACATGTTCCCACAGGCGGACGGACCGAATACGGAGGCCATTCTCACCAGTCACCTGGTGATTGATTCCCGGCGAGCAGTTACGTCAGTGCGGTTTGAAAAATTAAACCTCTCCGGTGATGGATATCCACCGGGAGCCAGGCAGTGGCTGGAATTAATTAGAAATCAAAGAAATGTCATCGGGTCGACATTCAGAGGCGCAGTCTTGCGCAACTAGCCATTAGTCCTAGCTGCGCCTTCTAGGGAGGGCGCGCCCGGGCGATCCTTGGGGAGGGAGGGGTAGGGAGGATGGAGGGAGGAGTATGAGCGGGATGGTTTTGGAAACGGTCATCAAACTTGGTACTGACCAAATATACAGATTTTCAGAGTCCTTTAAAATCAAACTCAAGCATATCCTTTCTTCCCTATTCTTCAGTAGCATCTTCTACACCTAAATATATCTATCCCTTTTATTTTTTAAAAATAAGAAACAACTTTAATCTATACTATTTATAATGTGGTTAAAAAGATCCCTTTTCGGGCTCTCAGAAACGGTGGATTTTGTTGAATGAGGTGTCAAAGGAAAGATAATTCGGTAAAAAGTGAAGAATTTCGATCCTTGAATTTCTTCAACAAGTTTGATTAAAGTCATTGAAGTAACTGGTAGGTTTCAAAGTCAGCTAATCGAGTCGGCATAAATTTTCTTTTTAAATATCTTGAGGCTGCCATCAGGACCCAGTATAGCTCAAAGGAGATATCGGAGACGTATTTTAGAGTCTCGAAATTTTCCAAATATCTTAGGATACTTTATCACGTGTTTTTATTTTATTATTTTTATTTTTTGATCCTCTCCTTTCTCGCTTTTAAGTCAAAACGGGGTTTCCCGAGCCAGGGGTGAGGAGGGGGATTAATGGCAGAGTTAAAAGACTCCCCCGGCACTGAGACGCGAACTCGTGCCTCGGTGCTATGCACACGCATTAGCCCGTCCGGCCACCCTACTCCTAAGTTTGGCTTCTATACTATCAATATTATACTTCTTTACTACCATCAGTGAAAGAACAAAAACAAGGCACTAATGCATCCAGGGGTACTCCTCCCCTCCCTCCCAAGGTCGATGGTGCAGGAACCTACTCCCCCGCACTCCATCCCAAGATATTTTATTGCACACCTGTTCTTAAAAACAGAGCAAGGAATAGTAGAATTAGTAAAATCGTTGATGATACGTACTTACACTTGCTATTTTCCCATTGTCGCTTATTCTGGAACTTTTCATTTCATTCCGCGCCTCCTTCGAAAATTAAAAACCACAGGTTTCCAAAAAGAATTGTCAAGAAAACTTCTAATAAATTAAATGTATTTGTCAAGAAAATATTAGTTAAACTATGTGCTAAGTCGAATACATAAGCCTGTGTTAAATTTCAAATCGTTTGCTTCAAATAGAATAATGTAGATGTTAGCCTATTTTGCTAATACGATAAGGTTTCCTTACTTTCCTCCAGACTCCGGTGGATGGCTATCCTGTCCAAATTCAACCAGCTAGGGTTGATTTTTAATTACTGCAATAAATACTAGTCTTCATAGCTTGACTAAAACCATTACATTCTGATCTTTTCAGAATACATAACTGTATTTTGTTTTATGTATTTCTGTACCCCGGAGGTAAAGAACACCATGTCCATTTTTTTAATTGTTCAAAAAATCCAATATTCCATAACTTTGAGCTATTGAAATATGTTTCTTAGTTAATCAATTATTTAATGATATAATGAACATGGTATCTTATAGCTCCAGGGCACTGATTCATACTATGTTAACTATCCTATGTTTAGTCATTAAAAGTTATTGCAAGTCCACTCTTGTGAGGAAAATCATGTATGGTATTTTATAATACGGAAGTCTCAACCAGTAACTTTAATAACTGTTAACTAACTTATACAATTTGTGACAGAAGAGAGTCAAAGATATAAAACAAGATAATACAAATTAAAAATAGAAAATATACAAACGTCTATGTATAGCGAGAAAATAACCCGCCATTTAAGACGTCATTACTCTGTTTGTCAGCATTACTACCGGGTGGAGAAAATGTTATATAACGGTATGAAAACTATTTATTTTCAACATCAAGAACGATTTAGTTATACTACTTATGTTTTGATTTTGCTTATTCCAAACAGTGAAATAAATTTAAACAGTTCATAAGACATTCCCTCTCCTTCTTTCCAAAAAAATTCTGCCAAATAAATAACTATAGATTCTTCTGGTTCATTCGTCCTATCGATGAAATTGATACTACATACTCTCTATAATATATATATCACCCTAATTTCCACCAACATTGGCCTAAATCGAATGAGCCATTCTTTATATATTTACGTATACCAATGCACATCCATTAGTGAAAGTAGGGGATGGAATTTGATAAAATTGATATTGGATAATTCTTCACCATACAATAACTTCGAGTCTAATTAAGAGAGCAGTTTTATAGGCTCACAATACGTAAGCTCATCGACGTGAAATTGATAAGACGAAATCTACACACCAGCAAGCAAAATCTCTGAAAATGTCATCAAAATCGGATTTACAAAAGCAGGTGATAATCATTATTATGCAATTTCTTCTTATTTACCTAAAGTTTTCAAACTGCTGTACAAATATCTTTAAGAATCAGTGTACTCAGATACAATTAATCGAATCCCATATTTTTGAATTGATGACAAATACACAAAATCACCTATTTCATGGTTTCAATCAAGTGAAAAAAATTAAATGCAATATTTATAATGAAATTTCAATTTTATGTTAATTTTCAGTCAGCAACTAATCAATTAAATAATGCTTCAAATATTGGCTTCATAGGATATGGATTTTCTTCATTTGTCTAGTTTCCCTTATCAGTTTTGCAAATTACACTGTTTCAATTTCATTTTATTTCTTATTTTCTTCACTATAGGTAAAACTAATCATTATTTTCGATGTCTAAAGTAAGTCTGATCGTCTAATTGAAAATTGATATCTTAGATCGACCTTAATATTTTCAAAATAAAAACAATTATCACTCAAAAACTTTTCTGCTGTATATAAATTTGCATTTATGAAATCGTGAGAGAATGATCCATGATAGCATTATCATTATCTTAATATAAAAATATTTTCAACTAAAGAAAACTAGGTTTTTCAGGGAAAAATTTAAATATTTCTTTAATTAAATTTAATGCAGAACTAGTCAATTAGTTTTTACTAATTCAATCATTGCTAATTTTATTTTATCACTAACAGTAAGTTTACATTATCTTCATATTTGAGTTTTTAGTTGATATATTTACATTACATATTCTTAATACATTT